ATTTGTTTATTTGTTTCAAATTACTTATCTTTTTTTTTTTATTTTTAAGACATAAATTTTAAATTAATTATTATATTTTAATGTTTTGAGTTGACAAATTTATTTTTCACTTTAACCATATTGTTATATCTTAACTTCAATTATTTATTATTTCACAAAAAGTCCTTTTTTTTTAAGTGCAATATATATAAAAATATAAATTATCTTTAAATTTTTATATAATATGTAAAAGATTTTTTTTAAATGACAATTAATTTTAGAGAGAAGGAGTATATAGAAAAAATGTAAATAAATTATTTAAATTAAAACTCATTAAACAAAAAAGAGTAAATTAGCAAGAATTAAAAAAATTTGCTACAACAATTAACACCCCAAAGGGTGGCTTAATTGTCAAATTTTAAGATTTTAAATTAAAGATTTCATATTTGAAATTTTATGTCTAGTGGAGAGAAAGATTGTGAAAGAAAAAGAGTTATTTTTTTTTTATAGATCATATTATCACATAAATAAATAAAAAATTCAGCAAGTGAAAAAAAAAAACGGTGGGTCAAATTGGAAAATCATATAAACTGAAGGGGCAAAAACGTAAACAAAGTAGCTCCAGAGCCTCCATGCGCTGTGCCCTAAGTACCCTGTTGTCGGTTCCCGCTCTATAAATTTCAGCTTTAGCCAAACCCTAATCGCAGTCTCCTCCTTTGCCCCCTTCCAATGGCTTCCTCTGTTTTCTTCTTCTTTGCAAACCCTAGCTGCCCTTCAAATGAGTTCTCTACTGATTGTCTTGTATGCTTTCAGAATCTCAAATTTTTCTTGAATTTCGTTTCGTTTGGATCTGGTCTGTTTGTGTAATGCCTATGATGGTGTTAAATATACTTTGAGAGGGTTATCTCCATGAAAAGAATCAAATCTGAGGCATTCAGGTTACACCCTTCTCTCTTTTTTACACGTTTGTTCATTGCCATGCACTAATTTCTTCGAATTCTGGGTTTTAACTTACTCCAAAAAAAGTTTTGATTTTGATTTTAGATTAGTAGATTTTCGTTGTTCTGATTATAAATTTCTCGAAATTTGATTATTTTTTTCTCATGTTAAGGTCTTCAGAGATCTTGATGGTTTTTTTTTTTTTATTTTTTTTTTTATTTTTTATGTTCAATTCATGAAATTAGTGTTGATTAGGAACACAATTACCCCATTTTTTGTCTTATTAATCTGTGCAAGTGACGATAAAACAGACAGGGACATCAGATCTCATTGTAGTATGATGATTTGTCTAATGGGAATCTCTCTGATGCACAAAAATTATTAACTTCTATAAATTCAAGTAATTTTGTCATTCATTCTTTTGCTGCTTTTCAATCATGCAATTAGATTCAGTTTCATATGTTTTTAAATGTCAGTTGGAGCTGGTGCATTCTGTTATTTTTACGTTTATTTAGGTTTGTCAATGATGTATTTTAATTGCACGTATTATCAGATATATAATGATGATTATGTGTAATTGTCACTACCTCTGAGACAAGCCATTGTATGTTGTTTTGAATTTTACTTTTCTGATTTTTTGTTTTATGCATCATCAATATGACGGGGGATTCATGATCCAATCCCTATCTTTATCTGGGGCAAACACGTTATGTTTGTATATCCCGAGTTAAACGTCACATATAGATGTTCAGGGACGTTGATGGTCCTCCCTTCGGGGAGCTCCTCCGTTGATGAGTGGTCTCATATTCCATTGCCTTGTGGAGCAGCGTCGCTGCCTTTACTTCTTGGGACTGGCCATGAGACATACATGATTTATAAACTACTGGATTCTTTTCCAGTTTAAAATATTAGCCTGTGATGATAACTATTCAAAAATACCATCTTTCGGGACTGAATGGCATACTTAGCCTTGATGTCCTTCTGCAAATCTGAGGCTCAGTCTTTTGTTCAAATTTTGTTTCAGACTAGTTGGTTGCTGCCTTTGTGTCTGTCGTGCACTTAACATGAGCTGATGTGCATAATTTGTGATTCATATTATTATGATCATAATCTGTCTTGGATGGGATAAATATGTTTACGTTTAATTATCATGAATTAGATGCTAATCACAAATACCATCTTTTGTTCAAAGTTTGTTTCTTTTTGGATTTAAAGTGCTAATCACAAGATGCAATAGAATGCTCTAGATGTATCATATCTTATTTTATATTTTTGGGAATTATTTGTTGGTTGAGAAATGCCTGATGATTGTCAAAAAAAAGAACGGAAATTTGAATGGTGCTTGTTGTTGAAGTCTGAATTTTGAATTGGGCTCCAAAAGCACCTCATGTGATAAACTGTTCTGCAAGGATATGAAGGCTGTTAGGTCCACTGCATGTTACCTGAAATTGTGTGTATTCTATTTTGTCCAGTGAGAAACAGAAAGTATAGGAGCCCTTTATGTTAAACATACTATTTTCTTAACTGGATATTTAAATGATATGAGCTGAATTCAGTAACTTCTATTCTCTCCTAAATTAAATGTATTTTGGTTCTCCCAATAATTAAAATGTATATATCATGCCTGAAACTGAGGATTGCAGTGGTGGAGGAACGAATATCAATGTATCAAAATGGTGTCTATCGTAATTGGCACAATGTAGATGTTATTATTTTTCTATCTACATATCTGTGAATCTATCAGAAGGCTATCTATCTCATGCACTAAGGATGCCACCCATCGTTTTGACCTTGTTAAGATTTGTAGGGATCTTGATGGTTATTATCTCTGTATGTGAATATATGTTCACTTTAAACAGTGCAAGTGACGATAAAGCAAGACAGGGACATCAGATCTCATTGGAGAGTGATGATTTGTCTAATGGGATTCTCTCTAATGCACAAAAAGGAATTACATTGTTCTCGTTCTTTTAATTGTGTTTTATGGATTCAATTTCATAAGTTTTAAATGTTAGTTATGTATTTTTAATTGCACGTATAATCGGATATATATTTAATGATGATATATGTCTGCCTTTGAGGGAAACCATTGTATGTAGTTTTGAATTTTCTGTTCTATTTGTTTTTGTTCTGTACATCCAACGCGACGGCGGATTCATGATCCAATCCTTAATCAATATTTGGGGCAAACATGTTATGTTTGTATCTCCAGAGCTAAACGTCACATATTGATGCTCAAGGACGTTGATGGTCCTCCCTCTGGGAGCTCCTCTGTTGATGATTGGTCTCATATTCCATTGCCTTGTGGAGCAGCGTCGCTGCCTTTACTTCTTGGGACTGGCCATGAGACATACATTATTTATAAACTACTGCATTATTTTCCAGTTTTTAGAATAATTGCCTGTGAGGATAACTATTCTAAAATACCATCTTTTGGGACTGAATGGCGTTCTTAGCCTTGATGTTCGTCTGCAAATCTGAGGCTCCTCTTTATTTGTTTGTTCAATAATGTTCCTTTCTTCAATATCAATTTTTTATTTACGATTGGTGCCTGTTGTGACTGAATTGAATGGTATGAATATGAGACTGGAATGATGTTAGTAGCTGTAAGAACTTGTTGAGAGGCAACTGAGGTAGTGATATAATTAGTTGAAGGACGTCTGTTGAAATTGTTGCTTGAATGTAGGACATAACCTGAGAGTTAATCTGCCTCCAATTCTTGAAATCATGATCATCAGTGGATGGACAAGGTAGAGACTAGGCTCCAATTTAATACTAGAATAATAACATTGTTGCAGATGTGATTCCGATTAGAGTTTCAGAATATTGCAGACAGAAAAGACCAGATGGGAAAACACACTAAGATACAGTTTATGATATGTGGCTGTTTGGGTGTCAGAATATGAATAGAAATACAACACGGGACGAATCCATGGAGAAAAGAAGGAAACAGAGAACAAAAGATGGAATATATGACACAAAAGGTAGAGGAAAATTATAGTCGGCAGAAGAAATTATCTCTATTCCTCGATTTTTGTTTTTTTTTTCGAAACTATCTCTTTTCTTCGGTTTATATACACATAATTGGTACTGGCATTAGAACCAAGATGACGGCACCGAATTGATTTCTTTTCAAAGTAAAAGGTCAAAAGCCTTCAGAAAATTCATTGTTTCCACCACCACCCAGATCTACATTGAAGTCTAAAGAGAAAAAAAAAAAAAAAAAA